TAGTAATGGACAAATTTCGGTTAAAATTCGGCTCAGTTTGAGGGGAGGCAGTAAATGGTAAATAGTGAGTGCCCTATTCATGCTATCTTACTCAAAGAGAGAAGTTCACCAAGGATCTTATCGCAATTCTTGCGTCTAAATCATTACACACTCATGCCATTCCTGTCTCTCACATTTATAGAATGTGCTCTTTTTACTCTTTGCCATTCTCTGGACCTCAAGAGGCTATCGTCATCTTCTGAATTTTCTTTCTATAGACGCATAAATGGCCGCCGAATCGTCTGCCATGACGACCTGTGCATACTCAAAACAGCAGAAGAAAAAGATGCCGTAGTTGTGTCGAACGACGCCTACAGGTACATGGGGGGAGCCGAGGCCTCAAAGCTTCAGGAAGGAATCCATCATGTTTCAGAGATCTGCTTCGAGAACACCCTCAATATCGCCGAATTCGTAGTTATAGCAGCGTCTGCTCATGTACAGCTTTGTGGATGGGAAGTAAGTCCTCCTGAGAAGGAAACCCTGTCGTTTCTCAGAGTAATCCGTTCAGGTTTATGCCTCCAGAAGATCCACTTGGACGCTATGGTCCTCGTTTACAGCAGTTCCTCTCCAACAACTCAACACCTTCCACTGCTCAGCTGTGTCCCTATGCGAGGAAATGCACATACGGCAGCAAATGCAAGTGGGTACACACAGTAGACGCTTCTAGCAGCGCAGAGCCTCTGAAACTCACCTATCTTCTACTGTAGGTACTTTCATCCCGAACGACCTAATGGGATGCACATCAGCGTAACCGACCGGTTAATGCGGGAGAAAAATCAAAGCAGGCCACCAACCATGCGTGAGTTGTCTAGGCTTTTGGCACAAATTTCCACATGAAAGTTAGTTCTTTGCAGGTCCATTGATGCATATGGAGGGGCCAAAAGCAGATCACCGTAGCGTTGGAAGGACCCGATCGCTCAACATCGATCCACGATCGGTTCATGAGAGCAAGGCGACAGTAAGTTTACTCAGTTTTCAAACAGCTAATCAGGAATCCTGTGAACTTCCCACGGAACTTCGGCAGGAGACCCAGATTTATCGATCGAATCTTGAACGCTCATTACAAATGACGAAAACTGCTCCATTGAAATTATGAGCTTCAAGTTGGCAAAAAACGTTACTGAGGCGAGCTTACCTGGTGGAATCACAGTCGCCGTGGCTCTGCGCCAAAAACGAGTCTCATATTCGTAATCAGGGCACCCATTTACCCTTATAGAACAAGTTCCAGGCAAAAAGCAACCGTGTTTCCACATAGGTTGCACCTCATCATTAGCGTTTTTTGCAACTTTAAAGCTCACAAAATTCTCCCTTAGGTCCTTATAATAGCACAACATATTGAAAGGTACGCAATGAGATATCTATTGCGCGTTGGGAAAAATTCGAAATCGGGACGACTTTCGCGTGGAATAGGTCTCGTGGGTGGCCGTCCCGTGAAGGAGTTCCCATTGGGTGAGCTCCCTGGAGCTCTCCTAGATGACCTCCTCGTGAACGAAGTTCCCCGAACGACCCATCATCTTTATGGTAGATGGTGTCCATAGTATTGTTAGGTATAACAGATGTGGTACGATGGCACAGGGCGATCAAAAAAGACAAAACACTTGAGACTGACGGCGTTCGAGAGAGCACGCTGATCTCTACATCAATCGCTATGGGTGGGAGAGTTGCAACGGGGGTCGATGGTTGCAGGCCCGTAAGGATTAGCGCCCTAAGCGCAATTTGTGCGACGAAGCTGGAGTGGATCTATGTAGGT